GCAGGGAACAACCCAGGATGGGGCACCAACCCATCACAGGGCACAAAGCAGGGAACATCCCAGGATGGGGCACCAACCCATCACAGGGCACATTCACTCACAGACACACATCTATGGGTAATTTGGTAACTCCAGTTAACCTAATGTTTTTGGACTGGAGTACCCGGAAGAAACCCCACGACGACATGCAAACTCCACACACATGGAGCCATGGCAGAGACTCGAACCCTGGTCTCAGAGGTATAATGTGACAGTGCTAATCACTCCCACCCCACATTCAAATATCTAAACAATTTCAACAATGTAACATTATAACAGTTCTCTCATGTATTTAACAGAACATGACAGCAGTTACATGCCCCAGGAATGACAAAGGGGCACATCAATCTGCCTACCAAGTCATGTAGTCATTTTGATACTGGGAAATCCTCATTATTTTGATGTTTCAAATTTCCAGTCCTTGCACCACATTCTTCCTCTGAACAGACTGTCACCTCAGAGGCAGTGCCAACACAAACAGCCAGCATTCAGAAGTTCTGAAAGCCCACCGAGACTGAATGGATACAGGCCAATCTTCTTTTATATCTGCATGGCTAATGCTTATCAACTGGACACTGTATATCATTTGATATACCGTTTAATTAAATGTGTTTAAGCATTACTTACAGAGGAAGGTCAGCATTTTTACACTGAGATGCATTAACGTGTATCTAAGAGGCATTAATAACAAGCATTAGGCATGTTATATATTCTGTGCTTGTCATTTTAACAATCTAAAGTTTTGCATTTGTAATATCTTAGTGCATTTGTAAAGCATATGCTAGGGGCAGCTTCTGGATCAAGTGCTTAATAATATTTGACTTTGCAACAGAAATGCTACTGGCTAATTAACTGCATTCATGCCAATTATTTATAAATGTCATGATTATCTAGAAGCACTGAAGTCAAGGGAAAAGTCTGTTATTTTTAACGTCAGACAGCATGTTCAAGAAAATCTGAAACAGGAAAATCCACCTCCAATGATCATACTTTAACATACACAATTTCCTTGTCGCTTAATTTCTCTGCAGGTACTGTTCAAATGTTATCTACAATTATGTAAAATTTAGATGTTTGTTTTATCCTTAATTGGTTCTGCAACAGCAAACGTTGATTGCATTATGAAACCCCATTAAATCTGAAATAATGCTCCACCTAATTCTAGATACGAAAGACACAATGTGGCATTTTCCCCAAATTTATCAGCAGCTCTGCCTTGCAATAATGAGAAACCTTTTTTCAACAAAGGCCTCTTAATTAGTATTTTCTGAGGATTTTTTTTTTCAATTAAATAGCTGACTACACAAGTTTGTTTATTGATTTGTTCAAAATGCATCTCAAGTCAAAGGTGTGAACTAAAATGAAAAGCAACTTACCACTTCTTCGTGACGGTAGCTTCTCACATTTATTCCATTTATCTAAAAAAAAAAAAACATTAGAAAGGATAAAAAAAAACAATCAATATGCTGTCATTAATTTTATAATTTATATTATATTGTATTACATTACAGCAGCATACAACAGTAAATAATGATTGGTCCTCTAATGTTAGACGTAGCTTCAGATGTTCTGACAAATGTGACGTGACCGACATTGCGGTTATAAAACAAGACCATGAGGTGCTGACCTGAAGGATGCCGTCGCCAATGAACAGCAATCCAGATAATTCAGCTGCAGGAAGATCACCAAAATATGAGACGCGGCAAACCCCCAAAGTGAAGAAGAAGAAGATGACGAAAAGGCACGATGCTGACCTTTTTGCTCTTTGGAAATTTTGGATATCACCACTGGGATATTGTGCTCGGCGCCGCCCTGGTGGAAGGAGGCAAAAGGTGTGTCATTTATATCAATGGTGCTCCAGGACTCTTAAAATAATTAAACGGATACTGGAAAAGCTAAATCCCTGAGCATGCTCTCTGTAAATAACTATAGCTGAAATAAAATAGTTATTTAACTGGACTGATAAATCTCTGTATTTTGGTAGCTAAATACAAAAGCCGTCATTTCTGGATAGAATAATCAATTATTTGAACAGTAAATAAGTAAAGACACCACGCTGCAGATAATACTGTACTGACAGTACATGGTCTCTCGGGAATCACAGAACCAGCACACAAGGCTTCTAATATTATCAAATAATCTTGCATTCCAAGGAAACGCATATCTTTTCCAATTTATAAATCTGAATTTACTCATTTATTTTACTGAAGAAATTCAGTGAAAGCAAGAATAGTATCACAGGACAGAGGTATGTTATTTATAATTTAACAAATAATAATAATAATAATTCTCCCATCCTGAGGTACACAGAAAAAATACTGTGGCACCAGAGTTGGTTGAAACAAAATCACGGTCCGGAGTTTTACTCTCTGGACCTGAATTACCCACCTCTATGTGGCACTCGAATCACTGGAAACCTCAACCATTCTCCAATTCTAAACTCATTCGCAATGTAAGTGATCTTTCATGGAAGCTCTTAAGACTCCTCAATGAGCCAAATCTTCTTGGTTTAGTTGCATTCTGCCCATTTATGAAAAGGAAAAAAAAAATATACTAAAATGGGATGCCACCTGCATTCCAACCCATATTTGATTCAACATCACCCCCCCTTGGGAGTAGGGACTACCATACTGCATAGAGGTCTAACAGATGCCATATCTGTAGCAATAGCTAATCACTGGCTGTACAGTATTAAAATGGCAGTCCCAGTTCCGCCTTAAGACATGCTCAGCGGCTGTGATTAATACCAGTGTGCAGGATAGCAACCCGCCTCACCACCTCTGCTACAGTAGGTGGAGATGAACATGGAAACAGTTCAATGGGAATCTAATGAGGCGGAAAGAAGCTCCCATCATAGTTCGTGACTGATACTACACTAAGGTTTACGGAGAACCTTTCCCTGCATAGTATCTAGGCCAGTCTGGCTGGTGGATCACCCTTTGAAGGAGTGGAAGTGGGATGAGAGAGACCAGAGTCAAGTACACAGTCCCAACAACACGAGTGACCTGCTAGCCAGCCACCCAGACAATAATATCACCAGTCAGCTCCGCAGTAGGCAGCCAGACAGTGGCAACATCTGCCAATAGCCAGGGTGCCCATCCAGATGATGCTGAAAGTGCCGGGAAGATCCTCTGTGTCATTCATCATGCAGTCCCGTCTGCCTGGCAGCTTCTAATAGGAAATACCAGGGACCTCCATTCCAAATCCAGGCCTTGTTTTCAGTTCTCCCACGTTTTCAGTTTAATAATTACTGATTGTGATTGGCCACAGAAGCTTCACACCTGGCTCACAGGTAAAGGAAGGACGGAAAATCAACAGTGATCGGAACTTGAGGATCTGAACAACCCTGGGATGTGGGGACCACAGTTCAGATCGTAAAGTGGACTTTTTTTCCATCCATCCATCCATTTTCTGCCCTATGCAGGGTCATGGAGGAGTCCAGAGCCTATTTTGGGGACAAGGCGGGAAACAACCCAGGAGGCTTAAACACCGTAACAGGTTTTTGGACTGTAGGTGGAAACCAGAGTACTTGGCAAAAAACCCCTCAACAATATAGGGGGACACATGCCAACTGCACCCATAGAGCCACAGCAGCAACTCGAACCCTGGACTTAGGGGTGTGAGGTGACAGTGGTAACCACTACACCACCCTGAGGACATTCTTTAGTCTCCAAACAAACTGTCCTAGTTAGGTATTTGCTACAGTTCATCACAAAATCGAACTAAGCAAGATTAATTTAATTTAATAATTGAAGTTGTTTGCAAACCACCATGCAATACACAAGTGGATAACAAGATTTATTACTAGAGGATTACTTTTTAAATTTTGTCTTTCATGGTGTCCTCCTGGTTTCCTCGATTGTCTTAGTCTCCTCATGTATCGCACAATAAACCACTTATACTTGTATTAGTATCACGCTCTCTTATACCCCGTGGTATTAGTGACACCACATTTCCCATTTTTTGTTTTTCAAATTCATTCATTCATTGATTCATTCACTTTTGTGTTTGTGCATCTTTTACAAAATGACCTTTGACCCCTACATGCTTACAGCTATCCTCGTGCTAATACTGGTTCTGTGAAAACCTTTGCTCCTCTAACCGTATATTCAGATTCACCATTTAAGGGGTCTCTAAATTAAGTTTAGGACACAGTCTCACGCGAATAGGGGCACGCAATGTTTCTAGGGGCTGTTTTGCGTGCAAATGCATCTTTTGTATCCCTCTGAAGGCCGAGAGAGACAGAATGCTGACAGCTGGGGGGTGAAACATGTGATTAATGAAAGCACAAACGAGAGGATACTCAGGATCATGCATCCCAATCTATCTCCACCTCAAAACACTCAACACGGATAATGAGGACGAGAATGAAAACCTTTTGGCACACGGACACAGACATGCAATGTCAAGAAGCCTGGGTAAGGCCGGAGAGGTTTGGTGAAGAGGGAAAATTAGGTTCATGTAAAGAGTGCAATGTTTTACAGCAAGATCCACCTTAATACTTAAGCCAAATCCTCCAATTGTCTGTCTTCTGATTGTCACTGTTCTTTCCTGGAAGAAAAAAAAAGAATTAATTAATAAGCATTACCAAATACAAATAAATATATTAAAGTTATGTTCAATCTGCACAACAGAGACACAAACATAAAATGGATATTTTTTCTGAAGGACTCACTTTAAGGCTTTAGATTTTTTTTTTCCTTTTTTGCAAACATCTAAAATGTTCTGTTAGGTAAATTTGGACACGGGCATGAGTGACATGTCTACTAGAAATTAGAGAAGCACATCTCTGGAAAGGCTTTCAAAATGCAGCTGGATGGATGAGTGAAGCAGTAACTCCTATCATCTCCCCACATTAAGCTACTTCCATAAATTATTCAGTCTTTCCACAAACTGCCCAGACACAAATAAAATATGTCAATGTGAATATATTACATTCCCGAGACAATGCAGAATTTTTTGTATGGCTTTAGGGCAAAACCTGTATAAGACTAAAAGAAAAAAACATTATTAGTCATGTTAAAAAAATGAATTTGGTGGAAGCTGTTTTATCCATATGTTTGAAATGAAAAGCAAATATAACAAAAAAGACAAAAAAAGACAATAATAAACCAACGATGGTTTGTTTCTCTCTCTCTCTCTCTCTCTCTCTCTCTCTCTAATATGTTGTTTTAAAATACTTTTATAACATATTTCATTAAAACGCTAGCAATAATCTGCTATGTGAAATGTACAGGTCTATAATTCATTAGTCACTCTCAGCAATTAATGCCCCTTTGATATAAAAGGGCTACTGATAGTGAGCAAAAAGTAAGCAAATCAAAAATAGACTAGGAAGTCACACCTTTTCCAATAGCCTTAAATAACTATGCATGAATCAACAAAGGTCTCTGTCAATTACATTCAAACGTTTGGCTTCACACACATTTTTTAATTTGAATTAGTAATTGAATTTAATATAGTGGCAAATGCTTATAGAGATCAACCGCTTATATAGATCAAAAATCTCGGGACAGAATCATTCCTATACAAATACTGTTTAAATAATTTGCTTATAGTAATCAAGTTAGGAAATGAAAATTCCAGTAATTCTTTTACTTTACTTTAAAGTAATTTTTCCTTTACTTTACTTTGATAAGCTTTGGAATACCGAGGTGACCCATCGTGGCGGTGTTGAATGTAAACGACGAGAGGCGGACTGATACGAAACAGTATTATAACGTATTTGAATTAAACATAATTCAGTAATTTAATCTGTACAATACAAGTAATTTGAAAATAATTTGACGCAGCTGTACTGTATTTTGAGTCAATAAAATCCTGTAAACATCGACGCTGTCCATTCATTACCTTATATTCATTTAATAAATATAGAAATGTCAGTGAGATGGAAATCTGCCTGAGACATAAAGAAAAAGGAAAAAAAATTAGTTAAAATGATCATCCACTCTTAGCGATCAATTTCACCCAGAGAGACGTGATCACTATAAACAGATTCCACTGTACCAGTTTGTTGTTTACCTTGTGCCAGTGTTTAATCAAAACCACTCTTCGCTCAGACGAACCCAAATAATACAAGTGTATTTCAGGGACTTAGTTTTGCGAAACTTTCCCATTCTTTCTTTTTCTGTTTGCTAATTGCGTGCAGTCATCATGAACACGTGCCGTCTGAGTGATTGGAATGGTCTTAAAGAACACGATGAGGATACTTCTCCCCTTAGGTCGACTTTTTCAGGTGGGTGAGAGTGCACCGAACCCAGGAGGCCCATGACGTAAATGCCAGAGGATTTTGTGCTTTTAAAGGTTACCGTAGAGATGCTTTGTTGTACGATTCGCCATGATAATGCCACTCAAATTACAGAGTGCGTAGCTAACCTGGCCCTTCTAGAGGAGCCACGAGGTTCAGCCATTTACAGTTCCTCCCCAGGACGGCTGAAAAGCCTTTTCACTTAAAAAAAAAAAACTCACACAGAGAATTTAAATGAGTTCAGTTCTAAAGAATTTATAACTCACAGCAAATTAAGAGTTAGCAGTCCAAAGCAGAGGTATCGCTTATATACAGTACTAGTGAAGATTAGTACACCTGCTTGAAATGTTAATTATCAATGCTTCAAGTTGTATACACTTGTTTAATTAGCTATTAGTGCATGAATTACAGTATGTAGGTTGGAGATCCATCTTTAGAGCTGGGGAGGGAACAAAAGAAAAACTTTCCAGGATAATGATCTGCTAAATAATAATAAGTCATCTAATATTTTTTTCATTGTGTTATACAGCTACATTTCATCTGAATATGTTGTTTTGGCTAAATATTAGGGCTGAAACAGTTCAGTTACTACCTAAAAGAGTAGTTAAGGCTGCTTATCGGCTCTGTGATACTGAATTCAGGCGTGTAACTGAAAACACAAGCAAACATACTAACTCATTTGAGACAACATCGTGTGAATGTGTGTACGACCAGAGCGAAGCAGAAACAGCCTCTGCGAGCAAGCCCCCCCGTGGCATTTAAGGCAATTTTACTGGGAAATTCAGACTGGGCTGAAAAATAGCTACAGGCTACAGAGGTGTTTAGACATGCGTTAAAGATATAAAGATATTCGGCCATACTCGGTGACAGAGATTTAGTTAAGTATTATTTTTATGTTTTCCATGCTGTACTGATATTGCACTGACCCGTGACCCCAAAACCGAGGTTTGAACCAAGCTGTGAGTTCCGTGTACCATTACACCACTACCAAATATACAACGGAAATGCCCTTAATCGAAATCCTGTCTTGGACAAGCGGCCACGTAGCCTAGGCTAACGTATACTGCAAGGCCATGTTACAGTTTGGCGCTAGCTAGTCCTGAAAGTCCAGAAAGGTCACTCTCAGGCTGTTCATTCTTCATTATAATCGCATCTGTATTGCAATGACCAAGCACTATCAGACACTAATATTTCCATTACTTGTTTTATGTTGGCCTCAGGCTGGGACCTCACGTAAGATGACTCTCCTGAGCTCCGCCCCTCAGAAATGGGGCTGTAGATATGTATGGTTCTGAAGCCTGGGGAGACCAGCTCATGATCCGAGCTCACTTTGCTGGTGACGGTATTTGGTAATCTCTGCCAAATTTATGGCCGTTTTAACCAGCATGCCTGTCTTTGAAGCTTACTTCAAAGACAGGCCATCCCACCAGGATTAGCGCTGTTTGACCGCTCATCATTCTTCAGCACGGGGATAAGACCTCAGAATAATGCAAGAAATACCTGTAGTGGAAGAATAGTGAAGGGGAACTCAATTTAATCACCTGGCCTGTCCATTCTTTAATCCAGAATCCCAGAGCAGGGGTATGCAATGAACCGGAGGGAAGAGGTTTGAACAAGGGATCCACCAGTACTCCCCCTCACTGGGAGCCACTGCAGACAGGCTGGGGAGACACTTCCTGTCTGCATTTACAGCTGATTTCTGCTTAAGCTTCTTAACCGAATAATGAAAATGCTGCCGTTTTTTTGAGGAATCCAAGATTTAACGACAACTTGAATAGTTCTTGAACACAGATTTGACTCTCCTTGTTCAGTTATATATGATTGTATGATTTTTTTATTTTTTTTTTACTAATTTTCAAGTTTTTAAAGAAAAACTTTTAAAGAAAAACAAGAGTACTGAGACTTTTGACTGGAACTGTACACCTACCAATGTATGAATATGGTGAATTATAAGGGAAACTGTCAGAAATTTGTTGGGGGGGGCGGGGGCTGGGGGGCAAAAACACAACCGCATCTGCATTTTGCTGACAGGTCAGCAGCTATAATGGCAGTTAAGGTTCTTGCAGTACTCTGGAGAAAAGTCATCATTGTGAAAAAATTCTGCTGCATAAATGGGTGAAATTAAAGAATCATTTTTGATAAAAGCAAGGTTACATAAAAAAAGATGCGTCATTTGGTTTATCCAACTGTGTGGGTCGAACCGCCTTAAAATGAGTGTGCTGAGCTCTGGCATCAGAAACACCTACAGCTCCAGGTCTGTTATTTCAAGTAAAATAAAATACAATATATATATATATATATATATATATATATATATATATATATATATATATATATATATAAAAATACTGCAGATAGATGGAAAGCCCAAATGCCACCTTTACTCAAGCATTAATGTCTGTAAAATGAAGCAGAAAGCAGGGAAAATCATCAAAAGGTAATTAACATTATATAACATCTATATATACATATACAGTATATTAAAAGAAAGCTTTCAAGACTTTCCTGTGTTTACAGTGTCCCCAGAGTGCTTCGCTTTAAGAAAAAGATGAGCCAAACATTTCATGTTGCCATGTGTCATTTCACAGAGGGAAATTTCCAGGAAGATTTTTTCTGTAGTCCAAATAAGGAAATCCCCCCCCCCCCCCCACAGCAGACGATTATAAAGGATTTCTGGAAAGAGGGACAGCTCCTTCTCCATTTCTTTGTGGTCCTGCTTCTGTTTATATTTACTGTTGCAGACGCGGACAATAATTCTATTAACACTTGTCTGCTATTAAGGCAGCTCTATTACTGTTCCTTTTTATCACGACTGTGAATGGCCGTGCTGTGAGATACTAAATTATATCATTTTAGGAGTGGGAAATCAAATTTGCAAGCCCTTTTTATGTCTGTGTATTATCAGGCTGGCGCTGCGGAGAGAGGCAAATGAGTGTTTGATTTTCAGCCTATTTAAACATGCATATGAAATACACAAACCCACTGTAAATTACAATGAAAAGTGAGTGAGTGTATGACACAGCACCAACAGACTGTCCCTATACCAGGGGTGGCCAATCTTATCTGCAAAGGGCCGGTGTGTGTGCAGGTTTTTGGGATAACCGGTAGGTCAGCTGTTCAAACCCAGGTGTGAGGACTCTTCAGCCAATCAGTCCTCTAATTAGTAATCTAATTAGGGAGTGGCAGCGAAAACCCACATACACACATATAAAATTAAACAACTTTTGCTCTTTTAAGTATTGCATCAGAAAGCTCCTGATAATCATTCATTGCTTTTAAGTGAACAAAACCAGATTTCTACATT